GGCACATGCATCCATCATTGAGGCACATGCATGCATCATGGCGGCACATGCATGCATCATGGAGGCACATGCATGCATCATGAAGCACATGCATGCATCATGGAAGCACATGCATGCATCATGGAGGCACATGCATCCATCATGGAAGCACATGCATGCATCATGGGAGCACATGCATGCATCATGGAGGCACATGCATGCATCATGGAGGCACATGCATGCATCATGGAGGCACATGCATGCATCATGGAGGCACATGCATGGATCATGGAGGCACATGCATGGATCATGGAGGCACATGCATGGATTATGGAGGCACATGCATGGATCATGGAGGCACATGCATGGATCATGGAGGCACATGCATGGATCATGGAGGCACATGCATGGATCATGGAGGCACATGCATGGATCATGGAGGCACATGCATGGATCATGGAGGCACATGCATGGATCATGGAGGCACATGCATGGATCATGGAGGCACATGCATGGATCATGGAGGCACATGCATGGATCATGGAGGCACATGCATGGATCATGGAGGCACATGCATGGATCATGGAGGCACATGCATGGATCATGGAGGCACATGCATGGATCATGGAGGCACATGCATGGATCATGGAGGCACATGCATGGATCATGGAGGCACATGCATGGATCATGGAGGCACATGCATGGATCATGGAGGCACATGCATGGATCATGGAGGCACATGCATGGATCATGGAGGCACATGCATGGATCATGGAGGCACATGCATGGATCATGGAGGCACATGCATGCATCATGGAGGCACATGCATGGATCATGGAGGCACATGCATGGATCATGGAGGCACATGCATGGATCATGGAGGCACATGCATGGATCATGGAGGCACATGCATGGATCATGGAGGCACATGCATGGATCATGGAGGCACATGCATGGATCATGGAGGCACATGCATGGATCATGGAGGCACATGCATGGATCATGGAGGCACATGCATGGATCATGGAGGCACATGCATGCATCATGGAGGCACATGCATGGATCATGGAGGCACATGCATGGATCATGGAGGCACATGCATGGATCATGGAGGCACATGCATGGATCATGGAGGCACATGCATGGATCATGGAGGCACATGCATGGATCATGGAGGCACATGCATGGATCATGGAGGCACATGCATGGATCATGGAGGCACATGCATGGATCATGGAGGCACATGCATGGATCATGGAGGCACATGCATGGATCATGGAGGCACATGCATGGATCATGGAGGCACATGCATGGATCATGGAGGCACATGCATGGATCATGGAGGCACATGCATGGATCATGGAGGCACATGCATGGATCATGGAGGCACATGCATGGATCATGGAGGCACATGCATGGATCATGGAGGCACATGCATGGATCATGGAGGCACATGCATGGATCATGGAGGCACATGCATGGATCATGGAGGCACATGCATGGATCATGGAGGCACATGCATGGATCATGGAGGCACATGCATGGATCATGGAGGCACATGCATGGATCATGGAGGCACATGCATGGATCATGGAGGCACATGCATGGATCATGGAGGCACATGCATGGATCATGGAGGCACATGCATGGATCATGGAGGCACATGCATGGATCATGGAGGCACATGCATGGATCATGGAGGCACATGCATGGATCATGGAGGCACATGCATGGATCATGGAGGCACATGCATGGATCATGGAGGCACATGCATGGATCATGGAGGCACATGCATGGATCATGGAGGCACATGCATGGATCATGGAGGCACATGCATGGATCATGGAGGCACATGCATGGATCATGGAGGCACATGCATGGATCATGGAGGCACATGCATGGATCATGGAGGCACATGCATGGATCATGGAGGCACATGCATGGATCATGGAGGCACATGCATGGATCATGGAGGCACATGCATGGATCATGGAGGCACATGCATGGATCATGGAGGCACATGCATGGATCATGGAGGCACATGCATGGATCATGGAGGCACATGCATGGATCATGGAGGCACATGCATGGATCATGGAGGCACATGCATGGATCATGGAGGCACATGCATGGATCATGGAGGCACATGCATGGATCATGGAGGCACATGCATGGATCATGGAGGCACATGCATGGATCATGGAGGCACATGCATGGATCATGGAGGCACATGCATGGATCATGGAGGCACATGCATGGATCATGGAGGCACATGCATGGATCATGGAGGCACATGCATGGATCATGGAGGCACATGCATGGATCATGGAGGCACATGCATGGATCATGGAGGCACATGCATGGATCATGGAGGCACATGCATGGATCATGGAGGCACATGCATGGATCATGGAGGCACATGCATGGATCATGGAGGCACATGCATGGATCATGGAGGCACATGCATGCGAGGCACATGCATGGATCATGGAGGCACATGCATGGATCATGGAGGCACATGCATGGATCATGGAGGCACATGCATGGATCATGGAGGCACATGCATGGATCATGGAGGCACATGCATGGATCATGGAGGCACATGCATGGATCATGGAGGCACATGCATGGATCATGGAGGCACATGCATGGATCATGGAGGCACATGCATGGATCATGGAGGCACATGCATGGATCATGGAGGCACATGCATGGATCATGGAGGCACATGCATGGATCATGGAGGCACATGCATGGATCATGGAGGCACATGCATGGATCATGGAGGCACATGCATGGATCATGGAGGCACATGCATGGATCATGGAGGCACATGCATGGATCATGGAGGCACATGCATGGATCATGGAGGCACATGCATGGATCATGGAGGCACATGCATGGATCATGGAGGCACATGCATGGATCATGGAGGCACATGCATGGATCATGGAGGCACATGCATGGATCATGGAGGCACATGCATGGATCATGGAGGCACATGCATGGATCATGGAGGCACATGCATGGATCATGGAGGCACATGCATGGATCATGGAGGCACATGCATGGATCATGGAGGCACATGCATGGATCATGGAGGCACATGCATGGATCATGGAGGCACATGCATGGATCATGGAGGCACATGCATGGATCATGGAGGCACATGCATGGATCATGGAGGCACATGCATGGATCATGGAGGCACATGCATGGATCATGGAGGCACATGCATGGATCATGGAGGCACATGCATGGATCATGGAGGCACATGCATGGATCATGGAGGCACATGCATGGATCATGGAGGCACATGCATGCATCATGGAGGCACATGCATGCATCATGGAGGCACATGCATGCATCATGGAGGCACATGCATGGATCATGGAGGCACATGCATGCATCATGGAGGCACATGCATGCATCATGGAGGCACATGCATCCATCATTGAGGCACATGCATGCATCATGGCGGCACATGCATGCATCATGGAGGCACATGCATGCATCATGAAGCACATGCATGCATCATGGAAGCACATGCATGCATCATGGAGGCACATGCATCCATCATGGAAGCACATGCATGCATCATGGGAGCACATGCATGCATCATGGAGGCACATGCATCCATCATTGAGGCACATGCATGCATCATGGCGGCACATGCATGCATCATGGAGGCACATGCATGCATCATGAAGCACATGCATGCATCATGGAAGCACATGCATGCATCATGGAGGCACATGCATCCATCATGGAAGCACATGCATGCATCATGGGAGCACATGCATGCATCATGGAGGCACATGCATGCATCATGGAGGCACATGCATGCATCATGGAGGCACATGCATGCATCATGGAGGCACATGCATGGATCATGGAGGCACATGCATGGATCATGGAGGCACATGCATGGATTATGGAGGCACATGCATGGATCATGGAGGCACATGCATGGATCATGGAGGCACATGCATGGATCATGGAGGCACATGCATGGATCATGGAGGCACATGCATGGATCATGGAGGCACATGCATGGATCATGGAGGCACATGCATGGATCATGGAGGCACATGCATGGATCATGGAGGCACATGCATGGATCATGGAGGCACATGCATGGATCATGGAGGCACATGCATGGATCATGGAGGCACATGCATGGATCATGGAGGCACATGCATGGATCATGGAGGCACATGCATGGATCATGGAGGCACATGCATGGATCATGGAGGCACATGCATGGATCATGGAGGCACATGCATGGATCATGGAGGCACATGCATGGATCATGGAGGCACATGCATGGATCATGGAGGCACATGCATGGATCATGGAGGCACATGCATGGATCATGGAGGCACATGCATGGATCATGGAGGCACATGCATGGATCATGGAGGCACATGCATGGATCATGGAGGCACATGCATGGATCATGGAGGCACATGCATGGATCATGGAGGCACATGCATGGATCATGGAGGCACATGCATGGATCATGGAGGCACATGCATGGATCATGGAGGCACATGCATGGATCATGGAGGCACATGCATGGATCATGGAGGCACATGCATGGATCATGGAGGCACATGCATGGATCATGGAGGCACATGCATGGATCATGGAGGCACATGCATGCATCATGGAGGCACATGCATGGATCATGGAGGCACATGCATGGATCATGGAGGCACATGCATGGATCATGGAGGCACATGCATGGATCATGGAGGCACATGCATGGATCATGGAGGCACATGCATGGATCATGGAGGCACATGCATGCATCATGGAGGCACATGCATGGATCATGGAGGCACATGCATGGATCATGGAGGCACATGCATGCATCATGGAGGCACATGCATGGATCATGGAGGCACATGCATGCATCATGGAGGCACATGCATGCATCATGGAGGCACATGCATGCCCTCCTAACATGCGCGTGGCAGCCATGCCTTGGTGAGGAGGCATAGCATCAATCAACTCACAAGTATTCAAGTCGCTTGAGATTGCAGAAGGAAGCTGGCAGAGAGCCCGAGATCTGATTGTCATCCAGCATACTAGCATTGGCGGCGAGGGGTGGTGGTGCGAGCGAGCCAATACAAGGGCAGATGGGAGGAATTGTGAGGGAAAGGTGAAGAAGGGTAGGAGGGATCACAGGAGCATGGGAAAGAAAAATCGACACAGAGGATTTGGACACGTTTCAGAAATGGTGAACGGTGGAGCAGAGGAGATGTGACATCAGAAGTGTGTTGTGTGAGGGTTGACAGCGGGAGCGGAGAGGAGATCGGCAGTGAGGTGGGGAGGGAAGGGAGGGAAGGTAAAGAACGCACAGCTGTCGCATGTTTGAGAGGGATGCAAAGAAGTCAGGGATAGTGCCTGAGAGCTGATTGCCTGCCAGCCATCTGCACAGTCGGCATGAGGAGTTAAAGAGGCAGGAGGGATGGGATGGGACTGACTGGGGTTGGGAGCAACGAGGGTTGGGTGCAAACGAGTTGGGTGCAAGGCCTTGAAGAATAGGATTCACTGAACCAGAAAATTTGTGGAAACAGGGACGGGGGATGAAAAGCAAGGAATGAGGGGAGACGGAGGGGATGGGCAGGGAAAAAAAACGAAAGGAAACAGGGAGTGCAAGAGGGTGTATAAGGAAAGGGAAGGGAGGGGCAGGAAGCGAAACGGAAAGAAAGGCAATGGAATGGATGGAACGGAAAGGAAGGGGATGATATGGAAGGGAAGGGCCTGGATGGAACGGAAGGGAAGGGAATGAATGGAAGAAAAGGAAGGGAACAGGTGGAAAGGAAGAATAGGCTGGAGTGGAGCAAAGGAAGCACACAGCACACACGCCTTTTCACATTGCACACACACGCCTGCTCACATTGCACACACACGCCTGCTCACATTGCACACACACGCCTGCTCACATTGCACACACACGCCTGCTCACATTGCACACACACGCCTGCTCACATTGCACACACACGCCTGCTCACATTGCACACACACGCCTGCTCACATTGCACACACACGCCTTTTCACATTGCACACACACACCTTTTCACATTGCACACACACGCCTGCTCACATTGCACACACACGCCTGCTCACATTGCACACACACGCCTGCTCAAATTGCACACACACGCCTGCTCAAATTGCACACACACGCCTGCTCAAATTGCACACACACGCCTGCTCACATTGCACACACACGCCTGCTCACATTGCACACACACGCCTTCTCACATTGCACACACACGCCTTCTCACATTGCACACACACGCCTTCTCACATTGCACACACACGCCTTCTCACATCGTGTCAAGGGTCGTGAGAGCCGAAAGAGAAGTTGGAATGCTGCCCGACAGCTGGTTGAACTGAAGAGTGCTGCAGCATGGCGAGTATGGAGCACAATGCATAGAGAACGGAACATGGACCTCTGAGCATTGAGCATGGAGCACATAGCATTGAGCATAGAGCATAGAGCATTGAGAATCAAACATAGAGTATAGAGTCCACACAAGACATCCGACACGGTCAGTAACACGCGACAGATGCTGACGGTTACAGTGGTGGTTACCACACGGACTGGGTTACGAGGATGGTTACTGCAAGGGACGGCAGCAGAGCTCATGGCAGACTGCACCGCCCATAGCAAGGATGCTCAGGCTATTTGCTCGTCACAGCTATTTGCTGGTCACTCATGCCATACATTCTGCCACACATTGCTTTCTGCAGTAAATCGCCTGCTGCACTGCAATGGCTTACATGGTAAGGAGGGAGGTGATTGTAGTGAGCGAGTCAGGAATGGAGCCTGTGAAATTGTTGAACCCAAGGTATCTATGGCAGTGTGGGGCATGGCACAGAAAAGTGGTTCTCTGAAGGGCGTGCCTCTAAAAGGTGTGCCTCTGAAAGGCGTGCCTCTGAAAGGTGTGCCTCTGAAAGGTGTGCCTCTGAAAGGCGTGCCTCTGAAAGGTGTGTGCACGTTAGAAGATTCTCGACAGGCACCATTGAGGATTCCCAAGAATAACACCACATCACTCAAGGCGCATCAACACTTTCAGTGCACCAAAATGAGGTAAGACTCGTGCAGAACGGAGGGCAAAGAGACGCTGATAAGAGGAAAGGCAGCAGGAAGAGAGTGGACAAAGTTACTGCATGGTGCAGAGGCGTACAGAGCAGTGAGGCTGGTGTTCCACTGGGCGAAGTCAGGCAGAGGGCCACTGAACGAGTTGCCCTCTAGATTGCTGCGAGACAAGCATGGGCCCAATGGGAGGGTGTCGTTCGTTTTTAGTCGAATCATAACAAAGATTGCTGCGAGACAAGCATGGGGGGAATGGGAGGGTCTTGTAGTGCGAGGGAGAGGGGGAGAGTTGATGGGATGATGGGCACAAACACCAGCACAGAGCAACAGGAGATTCAGAAGGAGAAAGGAGGCGAGGAGGCAAGGAGGCGAGGAGGCGAGGAGGCAAGAAGGAGAGGAGGCAAGGAGGCGAAGAGGCAAGGAGGCGAGGAGGCAAGGAGGCGAGGAGGCGAGGAGGCAAGAAGGAGAGGAGGCAAGGAGGCGAAGAGGCAAGGAGGCGAGGAGGCAAGGAGAAGAGGCAAGGCTGGAAATGAAGCATCGAAAGCATGGCAGCCCTTGCTTCCAAGTTGCTGCAAGCATATTCCTGTGCCATTAGGAGTGAAAGCACCTGTGCCCAGTTGCAAAAAAAACAGAGTATGAACGCCTACACACAATGGCAGCATCTCGCTCTCACAGCGCGCTAGGCAGCACTCACAGCACGCTTAGCAGCTCTCACAGAGTGCCGAGCGTGGTACTGGCGTCGAGGCTTTGAGGAATGCTGCCTTGGAAATGATTGTCTGAGAGGTACCTGGATTAGCGCACAGCACAGGAGAGAGCACACAGCACAAGAGAGAGCACACTCAGCACACACATTGTATGATCAAATGGCACTGAGGCAATATGGCATGCAGGGTCAATAGATGGAAGAGTTGAATGATTCAGAACGGGAGGAGTGACGGGAGAGGTGGGGAGATGCACATTGTCTTTTCTTCCTATTGCTGGGTGAGTGGTGAGGGATGGGTCGTTTTTTTAGCCGGCTCGAGAATCGGAGCAAGCCTTTTCAAATGAAGCTGCTGCGCGGTGAGTGAGTGACTGATGGAGAGGCGAACGACAACGGCGCATGGGACAGCGGCGCAACAGACTGAAACGGGGAAAAACAGACGGTCGTGGTCTTCACACACAAGGAAGGGAGGGACGGTGGGAGGGAGGGATGGCGAAAGGGAGGGAAGCCGAGAGGGAGGTTGAGTGATGGTGATTCGACGCACAGCTCTGCGAGTGCGGGGAATTGGAAGAGGAAGGCCGGCACCTCCCCGGAGAACTGGTTGTGCTCCAAATGCCTGATGAGTGCACAGACGGATGAGAGGAAGGATGGGCGCATGGATGGATGGAAGGAAGGGCGCATGGACGGATGCAGGACGAGGGATCGCGGGAATGAGGGGAAGAGTGGAGGACGAGAAGAGGAATGGCGAGACGGAGAGAGGAATAGTGACAGAGGGAGAGGAAAACGACACGGGGAGAGGAATCGCAAGACACGAAGAGGAAAAGAGAGACAGGGAAGGGTGAGAAGCACAGAGCGCCACGTCACGGCAAAATGGCATGTACATAGATCACTCACAAAGATTCCAGAGAAGTGAGTTTAGTGAGGGCGTCTGGAATGGACCCTTGGAGTCTGTTATATGACAAGTCGCTGCGGCGGAAGACGGGGAGCAGAGGAGACAGTTCAAGAGGTGGAGAAGATGGATTTGGGGAGGATGAGAGTATAGAGCTGGACACTAAGTGGGGGGAGAAAACAAGTGGATGGTCGGAGTCGAAGGAGGGATGGTCATGCACACTGCAGCGGGCCCAGGAAAATGCGCTGATCGTCAAGACCCACGCCGCCTTTGTGGCGGCACCGACTGCGGTGAACCCCTTCCCCGAGCCCCTTGGCATCGGGGAGCTCCTCCACACCGTTGAGGGAGGGGCCCAACCAAGTGCTGCAAACAAGTGCAGTAGTTTGTGCTACAAGTGCGTGTGATCGCTGTACCTACCGTATTGCCCTCCCGTTGTATAACCTTGCCTATATCAATAAAGGACCATTCGAGGAGGGATGGTCTGACTGGCGTGGATGTGATGAGAGCACACGTGAATGACAAGCTGGCAGCACACGTGAATGACAAGCTGGCAGCACACGTGAATGACAAGCTGGCAGCACACGTGAATTAGCTGGCAGCACACGTGAATGACAAGCTGGCAGCACACGTGAATGACAGGCTGGCAGCACACGTGAATGACAGGCTGGCAGCACAGCAAACGTACAGTCCTGCAAGTGCGGTGAGGTCCAGAAGCACAGACGGAAACTCCCCTGCCAGGCTGTTGTTATTCACAATGCTGCCGAGTTTGCGGGTGGGGTGAACGGAGAGTGGAGAGGACAAGAACTCTATGCACGGACCTCCTAGACGTTCCACTTGCACTGCTGCAACGCACAACCCACAGCTGAAGAAGACTCTAACAGGAATGGCTCCAACTTCCATGGCTTTCGGCTACTGCCATGCACTTGACTTGAGGCTGCACTGCAAGAGCAAGGTGTGCGTGTGTGTGCCTGCATGCGACTGACAGATTCATAAGAGAGGTGAGCTTGGAAAAATCAACTATCAGCGTTTTTTATATCTACTTTTTTCACACTAACTTTACCCTATTGATTCTGTTGCTCAAGTGATATCTTCCAGTATTGCTGCCCTATTATTATAAATCAATTAGACCCATGCAACTGACAAATTCATAAGAGAGGCGAGCTTGGAGAAATCAGCAGGCAGCGACCCTGAGAAGTTGTTGGAACCAATTTCACTAGGGGGAAGAGCGGGAGGCGGAGAGGGGGAGAGGACAAGAGCGGGAGAGTGGGAATAGGTAAGGGTAGGAGAGGAGTGAGAACGGGAAACACAGGAGGGGAGGGGTGAGGGAGAGCTACCTCGGAGGTGGGCACGCAAGATGGCATGGAGGTTGGAGAGTTGAACGAGTGCAAACATGGATTTTTACATGCCGTCACTTCAAAAGAGCGCGGGGCTCACAAGGTGATGAGATACGGCATGTTGGCTGGTTCACATGGTGATGAGATAAGGCATGTTGGCTCAAATGGTGATAAGATACGGCATGTTGGCTCACAAGGAGATGAGATACGGCATGTTGGCTCACAAGGAGATGAGATACGGCATGTTGGCTCACAAGATGATGAGATACGGCATGTTGGCTCACAAGATGATGAGATACGGCATGTTGGCTCACAAGATGATGAGATACGGCATGTTGGCAATGACCTCCAGCCCTCCTGACAGCTGGTTGTAGTTCAGCACCCTGCCCATTCCCAGTCGCAGCAGCACATGGCCACACCACCCACCCACCCACACACACACACACACACACACACATGCACACACACGCACACACACGCACACACGCACACACACACACACACGCACACACGCATACACACACACACGCACACACACACACGCACGCACACACGCACACACACACACACACACACACGCGCGCGCACACACACACACGCACACACACACACACACACACGCACGCACTCACACGCAAACACACACTCTTTCAATCAGCACTGGGATGATAACTCATGTGCATGTGACTGTGCATGTGCATGTGGATGTGCATGGGCATGGGCATGGGCATGGGCATGGGCGTTTCTCTGACTTAGTGTGTTTTCGTGCAGGCCACCTCAACCACAAGAGCTCCATGCATGCGTGTGCGATGTGCGTACAGAGCAAACTCGAGCACGAAGCATAGACTCATGGCGGGGAGGGGGTGGATCAAGAATTGTCAGAATATTATGCTCTAGCCTGTAGTGGGGTGCTCTATAGCGAGTACAACCCTTCTAGGGTTTGCTATTTGTATCCTCATTCTTGCTAGTGCAACTCCTCTCTTTGCCTAAACTGTTTCTTGCCTAGCTAGGGCTTTCCTAGCTATGGCGCCTTCTTCTACTGCTTATCTTCACAAGAATGTGCATATCTTCGAGCAACACAAAAACAAAGAACGAATTTGCATGCATATCACCAAGTGTGAAATTAGAACGGACTAGAGGCGAGACAGGGGGGGAGCACAGCAGGAGAGCATGTCTGCAAGACTCAGCTGACCAATAATTGAACTGACTGGAATGATTTCTGAAGCGCCTCAAAACCGTTGGTCGAAGTAACTGCAACTCACAACTCTGTGAGGGCGGAGAGTCCTGTGAAGTCCTTGGGAATTGTTCCTGTAAGGCGGTTGGAACCCAGATTGCTGGCAAGGGGCAAACGGAAGCACGGGGCGAACGCAGTTGACCAACACCAAAAGGCAGCGTGCAAAGGCCACAGCAGAGGCCCCTCTGATGTTCCTTCAGTGGCACTTGGCTGCGCTGCATATTGTGGTATCAGAATGTACTATAGTCGAATACCTCACGTTATGGTTGTTAGTGACACCGGGACATGAACGGGGGTGGTACGCAACGCAAGCAACGACGAAAGCTGGGGGCGAGGGTTAGGGTGCGGCGAAGCTTACAGTGTGGCGAGGCTTACAGTGTGGCGAGAGATGGCAGATTGCCGAGGGCAGATGGCAGAGAGCCTTGAAACTGGTTGTCGTTGAGACGGCTGGAAAGAGCAAGGAGAGGGGAGGAGGGAGGGAAGAGAGAGGAGTGATAAGGAGGCGGGGAGAGAAAGAAGATGGGAGGGGGCAGGAGTATAGGAGCAGGAAAACGGAGTCGGGAGAGGGAGTATAGGAGCAGGAAAGGGGAGACGCGAGACAGAACACATGAGGGTGAGAGGAGAATAAGCAGGAGGGAGAGAGGGGGGCAGGGTAGAAGGTTGAGGGGAAGGACTGGGAGGAAGCAATGGCGAGCAGAGAATGTGACATTGAAAGGCACTGAGAGCAGGAGAGGGCACTGACAGGCAGGAGAGGGCACTGACAGGTACTGAAGGGCGGGACTGAAGGAGGTGGGCAGCGAGCCGCTCATCTGGTTGATGGACAGGTCCCTGCAGTGACACGAGGCACGCATGTGGGTGAGTGGTTGGGAATACATCATGTTCGGGTTAGATCAGGTTTGGATGAGATCATGTTCCAATTGTATCACATGGTGGTTTCTTTAATAGTGGCAGACACTCACAAGTCACTTTGAATCAAGACACTGTCACTGGCATGGCATGTGCAGGTGGTTCAACCAGCAGGGCAGAAGCAGCAGCAGGGCAGAAGGAGGCTCACAGTGTGCCGAGGCTCTGGAGGTTGGAGAAGGCGTTTGGGATGGAGCCCAAGAGGCCGTTTTCCTTCAGATCCCTGGGTTGGAGAGGGTTGGAGAGGGTTGAAGAGGCTTCAGGAGTCAGTAATCATGTGCAATGCGAAGGCAAAAAGGCGTTGGGGATTGCTGCAGTCAGCAGACTAGTTTGGTTGATAGGGCAAGCAGAATCAACGAAGAAATCAAGGTCAGAGTGGGTTCTTATTATTAAGATACCAGATAGCGGGTGTTGAGATGACAAGGGGAGTGGGTGAGAAAGGTGGGTGTGTCAGATTACCATCCTCATTGTAACCTACATCAATCCTATAAGCTTAGGTTAGAGATAGGCACCCAAACTTAGTTTGGGTGTAGAACTAGGGCTAACCCTAGTTGGGGGTTGGAACTCAAACCTTGGCCCCCAGGGTTGGGTTGGGAATTATTGGTCCCCCCAATAATGTTGAACCACTTGGTCAACATTATTGGTCCCCCCAATAATCCCTCAATCCAACTTATTGGTGGGGGCCAATAATGTTGGCTTGGTTCCAACCAAACCCCCCATCCTAGCACTACTATGTATACCCCCATCTCTCCTAATGAAATCAGTGGTTCTTCATCTTTTCTCACAGGGTGGTGCGGTGTGTGCGAGGGAGGCAAGACGCACAGCAGTGTGAGGGCAGTGAGGGAAGCAAGACGCACAGCAGTGTGAGGGCAGTGAGGGAAGCAAGACGCACAGCAGTGTGAGGGCAGTGAGGGAAGCAAGACGCACAGCAGTGTGAGGGCAGTGAGGGAAGCAAGACGCACAGCAGTGTGAGGGCAGTGAGGGAGGCCCATGAGTCGGGGAGGAAGCCAACGAGACCGTTCCCTCCTGCCTTACTGCACATGCGATGTGTGGGTGCACGTGGTTGTGTCGCGTCGTGTGAATGTGTGTGAAAGACACAGCGAGATAAGCAAGCGAGAGAGGAGAGGCATCGGACTGAGAAACAAGAATGAAACACTCAATGGTGCCATGCCAGCCACAACAGCAGAGCAGCATGGCAAGTAAGAAACGGCCAACAAGCTAGAAATTTCCAGTAGTCCTCAAGACAGCTAAACGACCACAATCGGAACCTTGGCGTGTTTTGAGTCGACTAAAAAATCATTCGGAACCTTGGCGTGTTTTGAGTCGACTAAAAAATCATTCGGAACCTTGGCGTGTCAAAGAAGAAGGGCGGCGAGATGTGAAGGGAGGGAGGGCAGTGAAGGCGCATCTAGGAAGAAGATGGACTCACAACTCCACGAGGTGCGAGAGGCGAGAGAGGTCCTGCGGCACGGCCCCTGAGCGCATGTTGCGCGTGTCCGAGATGGCACTGGTGAAGGCGCAGGGGGCAGGGTGAGAACGCAGTGGCAAAGGGTGAGCTTGCGTCGACTCACACCCGTGCGCATGTAGCGCGCGTGTGGGATGGCACTGGTAGTGGGGAGCGCAGGGAGCAGATGAGAAGGGTGAGAGCCCAGGCGACCAGCGTGAGAGGCGAGAGAGGTCCTGCGGCACGGCCCCTGAGCGCATGTTGCGCGAGCCCGGGTTGGCACTGGTAGCGGCGCAGGGGGAGAGCGTAGGGAGCAGGGTGAGAGCACAGGGAGCAGGGGGAGAGCACAGGGAGCAGGGGGAGAGCACAGGGAGCAGGGTGAGAGCACAGGGAGCAGGGGGAGAGCGTAGGGAGCAGGGTGAGAGCACAGGGAGCAGGGTGAGAGCCCAGGGAGCAGGGGGAGAGCGAGCAGGGTGAGAGCACAGGGAGCAGGGTGAGAGCACAGGGAGCAGGGTGAGAGCGTAGGGAGCAGGGTGAGAGCACAGGGAGCAGGGGGAGAGCACAGGGAGCAGGGGGAGAGCACAGGGAGCAGGGTGAGAGCACAGGGAGCAGGGGGAGAGCGTAGGGAGCAGGGTGAGAGCGTAGGGAGCAGGGTGAGAGCACAGGGAGCAGGGGGAGAGCATAGGGAGCAGGGTGAGAGCACAGGGAGCAGGGGCGGAGCACAGGGAGCAGGGGGAGAGCACAGGGAGCAGGGTGAGAGCACAGGGAGCAGGGTGAGAGCACAGGGAGCAGGGGGAGAGCACAGGGAGCAGGGGGAGAGCATAGGGAGCAGGGTGAGAGCACAGGGAGCAGGGTGAGAGCACAGGGAGCAGGGTGAGAGCGTAGGGATCAGGGGGAGAGCGTAGGGAGCAGGGGGAGAGCACAGGGAGCAGGGTGAGAGCACAGGGAGCAGGGGGAGAGCGTAGGGAGCAGGGGGAGAGCGTAGGGAGCAGGGGGAGAGCGTAGGGAGCAGGGGGAGAGCGTAGGGAGCAGGGGGAGAGCGTAGGGAGCAGGGGGAGAGCGTAGGGAGCAGGGGGGGAGCGTAGGGAGCAGGGTGAGAGCGTAGGGAGCAGGGGGGGAGCGTAGGGAGCAGGGGGAGAGCGTAGGGAGCAGGGGGAGAGCGTAGGGAGCAGGGTGAGAGCGTAGGGAGCAGGGTGAGAGCACAGGGAGCAGGGTGAGAGCACAGGGGGCAAGGATGAGAGCCTAGAGGACAAGGGTGAGAGCCCAGGGGGCAAAGAGTGAGATGCATGAAGAAAGGATAAGGGGACAGGGTCAGATGAGCAAAGGTAACCGATGTGTGACAAGAGACTGCTGTGACCAGTCCATATGGGTGAATTACTGTAGGTATATACCAGGCTAGCCAAGAAGATGGGGGCCAGTAAGTGGCCCCATGCCACAGAAAAGCAGGGTTACTTACAGGGTTCGGAGGTTGGTGAAGGTCCCTAGCCAGAGAGGCACGTCGTTGAAATAGAGGTAGCTCAGGTCCCTGCACACAGCACGCACCGCACGCGTGGAGATGGTTGGCACACGAAGAAAGCAGGGAGCGCTTGGAACTGATGTGACACAGGTTGCTGAAAACTCTAGTCAGGGTTGGGGAGAATCAGGAGTAATTTCTTGCACGTGCGTGCTTCCTCATCACTTTCCACAGTGGAAAGGCAGCAGGCTGAGAGCTGGAGAGACTGGAGACGAGCAATGGGTTAGGTCAGGACAGGTCGAGTCGACCCGACCCTGACCAGAGGCGCACTAGATACGGGAAGGCAGCACGAATTCGGAATGCAATACGGGAAGGTAATCAGGATTGCCAAGAATAAATTTCAGAGGAAGGTGAGCAAAGTGCAGGGGCCTCACAGGTAGGTGAGCTTATCAAGAAGGATGAGCTCGGGAGGAAGCTCCCCCTCCACGTTCATATCCCCGAAATGCCTGTGAAGATTGTGAATTGAACAAGTAATTGGATTAGAGGAACAACCTAGCATACATAGTTGGAAGGGAAGGTTGGAAGGGAAGGATGAAAGTGACCATAGGTTGGGTTGACCTCACTTGGGGAAGTGAGGGAACCATAGGTCAAGTGGGTTGGGTTGCCCATACTTTGTAGAAGTGAGGCAACCCTAGGCCCACTTGGCTTGGGGTAACCTCAATTGTGGGAAGTGAGGTACCCACAAGTCAAGAGGGTTGCATTTGGGGGCTCCACCACAATTGGGTGGATTGGCACCCCAAAGTGCAAGACTACACCCAAAGTTGGGTGTAGTCCCAACCCAACTGTACACCACAATTGGTGTACAGTCACATGTGTTGGCATGCTACACAATATATATTTTAACACAACCCCTTAGCATGCTAACACAAGAAGAGAACAACCCCTGAATCAAGGGGCGCCCGGGCGAGCAAGGCCAATGAGGCGGAGGAAGGCAGAGTGCGCGGGGCGAAGGAGGGCCTTAGTGAAGATGTCGGCCAAGTTGGCCTCGGTTGCAATCTTGCGAACGGCAATGAGGCCCTTCTGGACGAGCTCGCGAACGAAGAAGTAGCGGAGTTCGATGTGCTTGGAGCGGGCGTGATAGACGGGGTCCTGAGTGAGATGGATGGTGCTGGCGTTGTCGCACCAGAGAGTGGGGCACGGCTGGGGGGCGCCAAGCTCCGCAAGAAGGAAGCAGAGCCAGCGCGACTCCTGGGCGGCCATGGTGCCAGCGTAGAGCTCGGCTTCGCAGGTGGAGAGAGAGATGGCGGAGGAGCGGGTGGAGCGCCAGCTGATGAGGCCGCTGCCAAGGGTGAAGCCGTAGCCCTGGGAGGAGCGGCGGTCCGGCTGCGTGTCAGCCCATGAGGAGTCACTGAAGCCCGAGAGAAGGGGACGGGAAGGGCCGCCGAGGGTGAGGGCAAGGTCCCTGGTCCCGCGAAGGTAGCGGAGGACCCGCTTGGCAGCCTTCCAGTGCTCCTCAGAGTGACGACCGGTGCCGACAAAGCGAGCGAGCACGCTGATGGGGTAGGCGAGGTCGGGGCGGGTGCACATCATTGCGTACATCAAGGACCCAACGAGCTCGGCATAGGGGTGGGGGGAGGAGGTGGGGGAGGTGGGTGGAGCGAGTTGGTGACCGAAGGGGAGCGGGGTGGAAACAGGCTTGGCTTGCGCCATGTCGAACTTCTCCAAGACCTGGCCGATGTAATGGGACTAGGAGAGGGTGATTGTGCGAGCAGGGCGGTTGCGCGTGATGGTCATGCCGAGGTAGTGAGTGAGGGCGCCAAGGTCTTTGCACTTGAGCCGCTGCTGCAGGGACAGCTTCACTTGCCCCATGTCGGCCTTGGTGTCAGAGAGCAGGATCATGTCGTCGACATATACCAGAATGAAGAAGCGGCGGGGGGAGGAGCGGATGAAGAGGCTGGCGTCGGAGTGGGAAGCAGAGAAGCCGAGGGACCCCAAGGTGGCAGCCAGCTTCGCATGCCACTCACGCGCTGCCTGCTTCAAGCCGTAGACGGGGCGACGCAGCTGCCAGACAGTGTTCTCAGGAAAGGCTGCGTGGAACCCGGGGGGTCGCCGGAGGAAAATGCGCTCATGCAGGTCGCCCTGCAGGAACGCATTGGAGACGTCCATGGAGTCGATTTCCATGTCGTCACGTGCACCAATGTCCATGGCGGCGCGAAGGGTGGGTGGTTTGGCGGTGGGGGCGTAGGTGAACCAGTAGTCCTCAGCCCAAGTCTGCGTGAACCCCTTGGCGCAGTAGCGGGCCTTGTACACTGGTTCCTCGCCCGGCAGCTGCTTCACCCGAAAGACCCATTTGCCGTCAACGAGATTAGCGCCAGCAGGGAGGGGGACATCGACAAAGGAGTCGTTGCGAATGAAAGCCTCACACTCCAGGAAGATCGCTGCTATCCATTTATCCGCATCAGGGCAGGTGATGGCTTCCTGGAAGGTGGAGGGAGTGAAGATGGTGGGGGTAGTAGTGGCGCCAAGGACAGGAAAGCCCAGGAAGTCAAGGTAGAGGGCGGCAAGGAATGGAGTGTGCTCCCGAATGTTAAGAAACTCCTCATGGGAGTCCTCAAGGAGCTGAATGGAGGCAGGGGGAGGAGCCCCAAGGATTTTGTCCACAGAGCGGGTATGGATGTAAGGGAGGAGGAAGGGGGAGGAACGGGAAGTGGCACGACGCCGCTGCTGCTGCTGGTGCTGCGGAAGCTGCTGCCCTTGTTGCTGCGGCTGCGGCTGACCGTGCTGGTGCTGCGGCTGCTGAGGCTGCTGAGGATGCTGCTGCTGCTGCCGCCGCTGCTGCTGCTGCTGCTGCTGCTGCTGTCCCGGCTGCCGCTGCTGCTGCTGCTGCTGGCCCGGCTGCTGCTGCTGCTGCTGGCCCGGCTGCTACTGCTGCTGCTGCCCCGGCTGCTGCTGCTGCTGCTGCTGCCCCGGCTGCTGTCCCGGCTGCTGCTGCTGCTGCTGTTGCTGCTGCGGCTGCTGCTGCTGCTGCTGCTGCTGATCCGGCTGCTGGAAGGAGGGAGAGGGAGAGGAGGAGGGAGAGGGGGGAGGGGGTGCGGCCGAGTGAGCGGGGGAAGCGGGTGCGGCAGGGTCGTAGACATCGGCGGAGGAGGAGGGCGGGAGCGGAGCTGCGACGGGTGGGAGGAGAGGGGCTGGAGGGAGAAGGGGCGGGAGGACGGTGTCGGTCCAAGCAAGGGGACGAGTGGGAGGAGGGAGAGGATCAGGGGGAGGAGTGGAGTAATAGGGGACGGATTCGTCGAAGACGACGTCGCCGCTGCGGATGAGGCGATTGGTGGGAGGGTGGAGGAAGAGGTAGCCTGGGGAGTCGCGATTGTGCCCAAGGTAAACGCATTCCAGGGCGCGAGGAGCAAGCTTGCCAGCGGCGCGGGAGCGGTCGGCGGGTGGGATGAGAACGAAGGCCTTGCAGCCCCAAACGCGAAGGCCGGCAGCGTCGGGTTTGGCGTTGGACCAAAGCTCTGTAGGGGAGGAGGAAGGATGCTGAGGGTGGGAGCGGAGATTAAGGAGAAGAGCGGCGTGGAGGAGGGCATAGCTCCAGAGGGAAGGAGGGGTGGAGGCATGAGCAATGAGACAGCGAGCTATCTTGGTGATTTCACGAATGTGGCTCTCAGCAATGCCGTTCTGCTGAGGGGAGTGGGGAAGGGTGGATGTCTGTTGGATGCCGTAGGTGTTGCAGTATGTGGCAAGGGTGTTATTGATGAACTCACCCCCACCGTCAGAGTGAAGGCGGCCGATGGGGCGTTTGAAGTGATTGCGGCACTGTTCGGCCCAGTTGATGACCACTGCCGGCACCTGGTCTTTCGTGTGAAGGAAGAAGGTGGTGGAGTACCGGCTGTGGTCGTCAACGAGGACGAGCATGTACCGATGCCCCTGGCGGGAGCGGATGGGATAGGGGCCCCAGAGGTCCATGTGCACAAGGTCAATGGGGGCGGCGGCGAAGGTGGGATGACTGTGGTGGGGGGACTGTTTGAGCTTGCCGTGAATGCATGAAGGGCATGGGGGAGAGGGGGAGGAGGGGAGGGGAGGTAAAACAGGAGGAAGGCTGCGGAGGAGGCGAGAGGTGACTGTGGTGCGAAGGGCGGTGAAGTTGGGATGGCCGAGTCTGTGATGTAAGAGGACAGCAGGGTGGGAGAGGGTAGTGGAGGAGGAGGGAGATGGGGTGATGGAAGGAACGGGAGGGGAGGAGGAGGATGGTGGGGAGGGAGAAGAGGATACTTGAGGGGGAGGGGAAGGGGGAAGTAAAGGAGGAGGAGGTGGACCGGTGGAAGCACCGGAACGAGTGGTGACGTGGCAGAAGGATGGGCGAGGCGTGCGGAGTGTGTAGAGGCGAGTGCGGGGGCAAAGCGGAATGCGGAGAAGGAAGCGACCGGAGGAGGTTTGGTAGAGATCACAGTAATTGGCATAACCGGGGTAAATGGCAGTGATACCAACACCTTGGAGCTCACGGTGGGAGAGGAGGTTGTTGCGGAGAGTGGGGATGTGGAGACCTGTGACCTTACCGGAGGGGAAGGCAGTGCAAGGGAGGGTGGAGAGGTGAGTGCATGGAATGGAAAAGCTGGAATCAGCCCCATGAACCTGAGTGGGAAGTGGTAGTGGGGTGAGAGTGCCAGCGTCTTTCAGTGCGGTTTCAGTGGCTCCACTGTCAAGGACAAAGTCCAGGGTGGGAGAAGAGGGAGGAGGGGGTGGGACGGGGTACTGAAACGAAGTCTCATTGATGGCAGCGACGGACGGTGCAACACTGATATTACCAAGGAAACTACCAGAAGTGCCGGGAACACTGGGGGGGGCAGAGGGGAGGGAACCCCAGGGGGGAGGAGGAGGAAGGGAGGTATGAGCGGCCATGGCCGCTGCGCCGAAGGTGAGTGGCTGCTGCTGCCAGGGTGGGGGAAGGAACTGCTGCTGCTGCTGCGGCGGTGGCTGGAAGAACTGCGGCGGCGGCGGCGGCTGCTGGGGCTGGAGAAACTGCGGCTGCTGCTGCTGCTGGTGGAAGTACAGGTGCTGCTGCTGCTGGTGCTGCTGAAACTGCTGCAGATGTGAGGGTGGGGAGGGGGTAACCATGCGGAGGTGAGCAGGAAGGAAAGAGGGGAGGGTTTGAATGTCCACTAAGGAGGGGCGAGGTGTGACCGAGTTCCAGCGAGGAGGGGTGCCAGTGTTGCCGCGATCAAACCAGGCGTCGTCGAGTGCCTTAAAGCACGTGGTGGGGGGATGGTTGGTCTGGCCGCAAGGGGTACCTGCATGGGGACCATGGCGACGCACATATGTGCATGGGGGGAGAGTGCCAGGGCGTCCGCCTCGAGTCACAGCACCTCCAGCAGGGGCGCTGCCAGCACCACCACCACCGCCACCACGGCCACCACGGCCACCACTACCACCACCGCAACCACCACGGCCTCCACCACCACCACCGCCACCCGCTCCACGGCCTCCGCCGCCGCCGCTGCGACCACCCTGGTTGCGCGGCTGCGTAGCGTTGAGGGAGGTGGAGGAGGAGGACCGAGGGGTGGTAAGGTTGACAACGGGGGTGCGGAGCTTGACCTCCGTGTCAATGATCCACTGGACCACGTCGTCGAGGCCGGCCATGGGGTTGGCCTCAGTGAAGGCATGGAGGCGGGACTCGTAGTCCGGGGTGAGGTTGTAGAGGAGGCGGTGGATTTGCAGGGGCTCGGGGAGGGCAGCTTGGCGTGCCGCAAGGCGATCAGCGACCTCCTGCATGCGCCCCACGTAGTCAACTGCGCCATCACAAGTGGCGAGGGTGATGGAGAAGTACTCCTGGAACAGGGCGCCGACAGAGCTGATGTCGCGACGCTCGAACATGGCCTGGAGCTCGGCCCAGATGAGGGAGGCGCGCATCTCGCGAGCTTGGAAACGGCGCATGAGGGTATCAGGGAGTGCGCCGAGGAGGATGGTGCAGGCGCGGTTGTCAGCAGTGGCCCATGCGATGCTCCGAGGGAGGTAGTCCGCCATGGCCGTATTGTACTCATCAAGGAGCGCCAGGCGATTGGCGCGTTCCGCTACCGCGAAGTCGTGGTTATGTACCGCAACCTCATGCTCCGCCTTGCGGATGAGGTATTCGCGGCGATCGTGGAGAAATGCGGCATCGGCGGCATCTTGGAGCGCTGGGGAAGTGGCGATCTCCAAGGTGGGTTCAGGAGGAGGAGGACCAGGAGGAATGGGGGGTGGAGGGGGTTCGCCGGGGTGATTGGGTGCCGTGGGCTGGAGGGCTTGCGGGCGGCGGAGGAGGACGTCAAGGACGCAGTAGGGTCCGACGAATGCATCTTGGAGAACACGGCGGATGCTCCCGACGAAGGAATGCCAGTTGATCGCCGAGCGGTCCGCGGCAAGCTGAAGCTTGTCGACGGAGGAGGCGTCAATGGGAGGGGGGAGAGGGGGAGGAGTGGTAGCCATGAGGGGCGACGGCGGGTGGACCCGCGGCGGCCTCGAGGTGGACGGCGGCGGGTGGACCCGCGGCGGTCAAGTGGGAGGGCGACGGCGGGTGGACCCGCGGCAGCCGAGAGGGAGGAGGGGGGGGGGGGGGGAGGGGGGGGGGGGGGGGGGCTGCTGCGGGGAGTGGAGTTCGTCTCCGGCTGCTGCTGCTGCTGCCGCTGCTGCCGCTGCTGCCGCTGCTGTCGCTGCTGCCGCTGCTGCCGCTGCTGCCGCTGCTGGCGCTGCTGCCGCTGCTGTCGCTGCTCCTGATGCTGCCGCTGCTGCCGCTGTTGCTGCTGTGGCTGCTGAGCTGTCCCGGCTGCTGCTGCGTGGGAGGAGAGGAGGAGGAAAGGGGGAGGGGGAGGGAGAACGCAGGTGTAGCCGTGGGCGAAGCTGTTGCTGCCAATGACGCTGCTGCTGCGGGATGAGGCGGCTGCTACGAGGAACGGTCGGCGGCGGGATGCGCGGGTGGCGACGAGGGAATCGTGGCGGCGGAATGAGCGAGCGGCGACGAGGAGGGCGCGGCGGAGGGATGCGCGGGCGGCGACGGGGAAGGCGCGGCGGTGGGATGCGCGGGCGGCGACGAGGAAGGCGCGGCGGCGGGATGCGCGGGCGGCGACGAGCAGGTCGCGGCGGTAGGATGCGGGGGCGGCGATTGTTAGGTCGCGGCGACGGGATGTGCGGGCGGCGACGAGCAGGTCGCGGCAGGAGGTCGCGCGGGCGGCGACTGTAGGTCGCGGCGGCAAGGGGTGCAGGCGGCGACGAGAAGGTCGCGGCGGCAAGGGGTGCAGGCGGCGACGAGAAGGTCGCGGCGGCGGGATGCGCAGGCGGCGACGCGAAGTCGCGGCGGCGGGTCGTGCAGGCGGCGACGCGAAGTCGCGGCGGCGGGTCGTGCAGGCGGCGACGCGAAGTCGCGGCGGCGGATTGTGCAGGCGGCGACGAGCGGGTCGCGGCGGCGGGATGCGTAGGCGGCGACGGGGGGGTCGCGGCGATGGGGAGTGCAGGCGGCGACGCGAAGTCGCGGCGGCGGGACAGGAGGCGACGACGGGGCGTCGCGGCGGCGGGATGCGCAGGCGGCGCCGAGGAAGGCGCGGCGGCGGTGGGGGGAGGCGGCGACGCGACGTCGCGGCAGCGGGAGGGGCAGGCGACGACGGGGCGTCGCGGCGGAGGGATGCGCAGGCGACGCCGAAGTAGGCGCGGCGGCGGGAGGGAGACGGCGACGGGGGGTCGCGGCAGGGGGAGGAGGAGGCGGCGACGAGGCGTCGCGGCGGGATGTGCAGGCGGCGCCAGAGAAGGCGCGGCGGCGGAAAAAAAGGAGGAGGGGAGGGGGGGGGGGGCAGCGACGGTGTGTCGCGGCGACGGGGGGCGGTGATGCACTCGCGGCGGTGGGATCCGCAGGCGAGGAGGGCGCAATCACGGCGGAGGGAGGGGAGGGCGGCGACGACGTAGGTCGTGCCAAGGAGATGCTAGGTTGAGCCACACGTAGGGGGTTTGTGGCTGTGGGGTGGGCCCATGGGGAAGAAAAAACTTTGAGGGAGGGAGAGAGAAGGCTTAGGAACAACTAGCTCTATACCATGTGAAGATTGTGAATTGAACAAGTAATTGGATTAGAGGAACAACCTAGCATACATAGTTGGAAGGGAAGGTTGGAAGGGAAGGATGAAAGTGACCATAGGTTGGGTTGACCTCACTTGGGGAAGTGAGGGAACCATAGGTCAAGTGGGTTGGGTTGCCCACACTTTGTAGAAGTGAGGCAACCCTAGGCCCACTTGGCTTGGGGTAACCTCAATTGTGGGAAGTGAGGTACCCACAAGTCAAGAGGGTTGCATTTGGGGGCTCCACCACAATTGGGTGGATTGGCACCCCAAAGTGCAAGACTACACCCAAAGTTGGGTGTAGTCCCAACCCAACTGTACACCACAATTGGTGTACAGTCACATGTGTTGACATGCTACACAATATATATTTTAACAATGCCTGGTGGTCGTGGTGGTTGTGGTAGCAGAGGCGAGAGGAGGGTATGCTTTGAGTCAGCTCATAACACAGGGAGAGGAGGGGGCTGCCAGCAGAATGGACTCCAGAGGGGGGGGGGTGAAGGAGGAGGGAAGCGAGGAGGTGGAGATGTACCGATGGCGTTTGAGAATCTTGGAGATTGACCTGCAACAAGAAACGCCTATGTGGCGGCGGATTGAGCAGCATACAGATGGTGCAGAAAACACCATGAAAGAAGGATGTTCGACATACAGATGGCGCAGCTTAGGGAGGGACGTGAGGAAGGTCATGTCTTCGAGGCGGCCCGTCATGTTGTGCAACGACACCAACTCCCTGCAGCAATCCGCATGTTACACATGCATGCCGTGTCATGTTACACATGCATACAATGTTACACATGCATGCACAGAGTATGAAGGTTATTGGTATGTTTTTTTTGTCGACTCAAATGTCATGTTGTGCAGGGACGCACCAGCTCGCTGCAGCAATCCGCAGGTTACGTGCCCAGAGCGTGAAGGATATTGGTATGGTTTCGGATATTAGTAGCATCGTTAACACAAGAAGCAGAGAGAGCACAGAGCACGGAACACGGAGAATAGAGCATAGCACATAAGGGCTATAGTGGAGTGGAGAACGCACGGCAGAGCACACACACACGCCAGCATACGACGCACTGGAGGACTGTGCATGTGCTGCGGCGCTGCATGGGTGCTAGAGTATCGTATCTCCAGGGCATTTGGCGAGCCATCAGCTGGCGTGCAAGGTTGGATTTGGGAAAGGCTACTTCTGAGACATCTCCAAAGTAAGGATTCATCAGCAGGGGGTGTGCAAGGTTGAAAGTGGGAAAGAAAGACCCCTGTGTTGCCTCAACAACGCTTACTCACAGGTGTTGCAGGAGCGAGAGGCGCGAGAGCGAGGAGAAGGAGGCAAAGCTATCGATGAGGTCAACAGCCTTGATGATGGAGCTGCGGCACGGGAGAGGGGTGAGGACGGGGCGAAGGAAAGAGGGGCGGGAGAAGGAAAGAGGGACGGGAGAAGGAAAGAGGGACGGGAGAAGGAAAGGGGGACGGGAGAAGGAAAGAGGGACGGGAGAAGGAAAGACGAGCAGCAGGGTGAGAAGGAAGAGGCGGAGTAGAGTAAGTGACACAGCATGGGGCTTTGGAGGTAGGAGAAGAGGAAAGCAGAAAGGACGAGAGGGAAGGGCAGCAGCAGCGAACGAGAATGGGGTGATGCATGAGTTGTGAGAGGCTCACAGCAAGGAGGGTGCAAGAAATACGTCCCATAACAACAAGGATTCCCCCTCCTCCCCCCTCAGTCCCCACTTCCCCAACCGACTCACACACACACACACACGCACGCACGCACCCACGCACACACACACACATGCACGCGTGCGCACACACACACGCACATGCACACACACAGAGAACAGGGGAAAGTGGAGATGAAGTGCGGTTGGAGAGGGCGCACAGGAAGGTAAGGGAGGTAAGGTTGCTGAGAATGCTGACAATGCTCCCTGTGGGATAGTTGTACATCAGGTCCCTGCAATAGCTCAGACACACGTGCACTCGGGGGGGAGCGGGGGTCAAGGACAGGTGCACACAGGGGGCGCGGGGCGCATGCACATGACAAGCCTCCTGATTTTAGGTTGGCACGATGAGCAGCCTGATTGACCTTGGCATCCAAACGGGTCGGGAGGCTGTATAGCACAAATGTGACAGTGCACTCAGGGGTGAGTGACATTGCACTCAGGGGTGAGTGACATTGCACTCAGGGGTGAGTGACATTGCACTCAGGGGTGAGTGACATTGCACTCAGGGGTGAGTGACATTGCACTCAGGGGTGAGTGACATTGCACTCAGGGGTGAGTGACATTGCACTCAGGGGTGAGTGACATTGCACTCAGGGGTGAGTGACATTGCACTCACAGGTGAGAGAGGTTGGAGGCTGCAGCAAGTGAAGGTGGGAGGGCGCCTGTGGATTCAGTATATGAGAGGTCACTGGCATGCCGTATGAAACAAGGAGAAAACAATTAAAAAAGGGCGCCAAAAGACTGAGAGGGAAACTGGGATAAACGAACTTGCGACAAAAAGTGAGTGAAGGTGGTTGTAGTGACATGGAAGGAGGTGAAGTGACAGGAAACGTGTGGGAGAAGGGAAAGTTGGAGGATAGATGATGTGATGTGAATAGCATAAGTACGGTGAAGAAACAGGCGGCATCATGCCGCATGAGAGGAACACAACAGCTACACAAAAGCAAGAGAGCGCGAGGGACAACGCAGCATAGAACGATAATCAGACATGTGATGTGCATAACAGAAGTATGACGAAGAAGAGAGGAGCATAATGCTACATGAGAGGAGGGCAACAGGTACACCAAAGGGAGAGAGCGAGAGGGAGAAAGCAGCAGCAAGGAGCAATAATCAGACATGTATTGAAAGGCGGTGGAGTAACCAAGCATGTCAAGCGGGCTGTCAAGTTCCATGAGATGCAGATCCCTGCAGGGGAAAGATGGAGAGAACGGGACGAGTTTTGAGTCGACCCAAAACCCAGGCCATGCAGATTCCTGGAGGGGAAGGACGGAACAAATGGGCGGTTGAATTGACACGACACAGAGGAGAGGGGGGAAAGTAGAGCAAGTCGGAAGAGGGGAGAGGGGAGGGGAGGGGAGGCGAGGGGGGAAGCGATAGAGGGATAGCAGAGAGCAGGTTCGGGTCACACAAAGGCGGCATGAAGCAGGTGTGCAATGCAGTGGGTGTAATTCTGACTATGCTAGCAGTAGCCAACAACCACCCAAGGCAGTAGCTTCCCTGCATAACGTAGTACAGTACAGTACAGGCATAAGGTGTACATTCTATCAGATCAATACACACCTCCTGAGGCCGCAGGGCACAGCCAGGCACTGAAACAAGCACATGAACGGGCTGTGAGTGCGTTGGCACACATCCTCAGAGAGAGATTCAACACTGAATTGAAACTATGATTTATCCTGCCATGCCGTATCATGAGGCTGTGAGTGCAGCATGCTGTGAGTGCATCCCGTGGAGTCATTGCATGCATCAGTACAGAGGCACATTACACACGGCACTCACAGGACTCGCAGGCCTGTCATATACTGCAAAGCGCGGGCTGGAAAGGGCGGCACAAGGTTATTCCGAGACAGATCCCTGGCAGAGAGAGGCGAGGGGGAGGGGAGGGGACGGGAAGTTAAGGACGGAAGGGAGAGGAGAGAGGGGAGGGTGGGGGGGGGGGTTAGAGGGGGAAGGGAGAGAGGAAGGAGGGGAGGGAACTCCAACACAAATCATAATATTCATTATCTTTTTCGTTTCAAGGCATTCTCTTTCTGTGATTCGTTGGCCCTACCTACAGGAAGTCTGATATCACGTCATGAATTAACAGTAACGCAGGTCACATGCGCAAGAAAGCAGGCTGAAGGTGTGTGGCTCAGGCTGACGTTGTGTGGCTTAGGCTGACGGTGTGTGGCTCAGGCTGACGGTGTGTGGCTCAGGCTGACGGTGTGTGGCTCAGGCTGACGGTGTGTGGCTCAGGCTGACGGTGTGTGGCTCAGGCTGGTGCAGAGCGCAGGTGTGACTGACAGTATCTGCAGCTGCTTGAGTTGCTGGAAAGTGCGCACTGGAATGGTTCCATTGATAGCGTTGGACGGGAGGTCCCTGCATGCAGCACGCGACAGGGGGGAGTGATGCACGGGAAGTCACGCACCCACCCAGCGAGTGAGCACACACAGATGCACGTATGCATGTATGCATATACGCACACACGCGCGCACACATGCACACACTCTTGCGCGCGCTGCGCGCACACACGCATGCAGACATGCACGCACGCTCGCAACACGCATGCGCGCAGTGCATGCACACACGAATGTCACAACACATCCCCCCTCCACACACATGTGGATAAGCATGGGAACGAGAGACATGAGCACAGGAAGCCTTGGGAGTGACGGTGGGCTGTAAGAAACCCTAGGCAGCGTAGAACACAGACTTGGGTGGCTCATAAAACAGTTGTTGCGTTGCTTACAGAACGGAGAGCGCAGTGAAAGTGGCAATGGCAGGCGGTATGGGTCCTTCAATGATTGTCGATGCGGTGTTGCCATCCCATGCGCTGCAGGCAGAACGACGCAGGCGAGAGGAAGCAAGTTTGGAAAGGAAAAAGTCCCAGAATTTAGGGTTGTGACGCCGTGAGAGAACAAATCATTTGCGTATACTCGGCACAGGAGCATGCGAAACTACGCAATGACTCACAGCGCAGTGACCATGCCTTGCGGGTTGCACTTGATCCCAGTCCACTGCCGGCACTGGGTCGACCGCTTGCCATTGCCGGGCCACAGCCGCCACGCCGCGTTCAGCGCGATCAACCCGTTCACTGCGGGGAATAATGCGGTGCGGGTGACGGCGACGCGGAAAGGGCTTCGCGTTACTATTTGCGAACAACACACGGTATTCCAGAAAGCTTTCACCGAAGGTTGTCTCGTAAACGTTTCTAACCAAAGGTGAATGGAGAGAAACGCGAGAGTAAAAGTGAGAAAGGCAGCACTCACGCTGTGACTGGGCAAGCGTAACAGGCGCTGGTTTCGGAGTAGAAGGGGGACCTCCTGGCACAGCTGGCGTCGCTAATCGCTCCAACAAATCGTGCCTGGTAATGCCATTGTGGCCATAAGTTAATAACTCCGAGTCGCTGCTGCTGCTGTGCGGTTTCGCGCGGAGCGCGAGCTTTCCGACGTGGCCAGAGGCCCAATTTTGACGCGAATACTGACGGTGGGTGCCATGGTGAAACGCGCTGGCTTTAGGTATGCAATTTAACGCACTAATTGCAAGCAGGAGAGTTAAGAAGTCAAATGAGGTTATTACTACCGCACGTTCCTTCTTCCTGTCGGCCATGCCGCTCCGTCTTACAAGTTAAACTATGCTCGTCGCATTGACATGGAAAGCTAGAATTTGTACGACATGTGTTGATGCATAAATGAGATTATCTACGCTGACTGCTAGTATTTACTAAATTCTTGCGATCCACAAATCGTAAAGTCGCTTCGCAAAAAAGTACAGTTTTGTGCTTGTCACACATATTACCGCAGGAGTGACACGACACGAGCCTGAGGTTGTTTGTGTCCGAGAATATCACAAGAAAGACTAACTTGCGCGTAGACACAGGGAACGACGAGAAGAAAGAAAACTGTGGGTTTCGTGCACGACAGGAAACACCTGAAGGAGCAGCAGCACCTGTCCGTCCAGAAATGTATGTCTGGCAATCGCCTGCAGGAAGCTCCTGCGAGGCAAATGGAACAACAAATGCCCGACCAAAGATCGGCAGCACCACCCTTCCCCTTAGCCTGTGTGATGAACAGACAGACCACAATGCTACCCTGTCTTTCCCCCTTGCCTCATCGTCGCCCAACGAATGCTTGACCGAAAAGAATACAGAAGCTTTCTCCTGGAAGCGTGTTCGCGAAATGAGCTGTCACGAAAAGTTTGACGACGGTACCGACGCTCTCGAGTGGTTGATTAGGATTCGCCGAAATGCTTATAGGGTTTGTGGTAACCTCGCTTCTGTTGAGCTGGGGCTGCGCCTATCAAAGCTCACCGGTTTTGCCGTTCCAGCCCAGCGGTGCGCAGCACTACACCCTCTTTCTCGCCATACTGACGTCCGCTATACTGACTTCCAGAGTGAAAAAGCTCGGTTGAGGTTGGTTGATTTAGGTTTCGGTATGGTTCATTTGGGCAAATCGAATAGGACAAGGCCAGCCTGCCAGTTACGCGCGGGTCAGTGTAGCGAGAAACAGGGTGTAACTGGCAGTTTGGCGCCAACGTAGCGGTCGGGGGAGCAATGCCTGACTAGGCTTCGTCGAGACACTGTTCTGAAACTCGAAGGGCAGCTGACTCGCTTAGTATAAAAGTACAACAGAAAAGTGCGAGATTATAGATTTAAAGTAGCTGCAATCCTCTGAAGGTCTCTAACACGGCTGATAATACGAAATCGCTCCTCTAGGCGTAGTTTCAATGCCACTCTGTCGGCATCGAGGTTACCCCATGAACCCCCATCTTCCTCAATAACTGTGTTGCCGTTAACTTCTAATTCTGGTGGACCGTCTAGGGGGAAGTTGAAAGATTCGGTGATAACCTCAGCAGCAGCTGTAACATCAGCTTCAACAATTTCTAAAAGCTCCTCCAGCTCCCGGATAAAGTCGATTCGAAGAAGCGTGCTCTCACCACCCATGCTTGCGCCCAAATCAGCCGTACCACCGAGGTCATTCTGAACAGGCAGAATTGCCAGGAGATGAAGGCAAGACAGAGAGGATTTTAACGGGAGGACACAATGGTAGGAACAGTCAAAGTGAACGTCTTGCAGGTATATTCACAGTGTTACCGCTTAAAAATATCCACATTGCTACAGCCTACGGCACGTACCCATGAGGAGGATGCTTATAAAGCGTCTGCGACATTCCCAACCGGCATGACCACCGTGAATGGGTCCTCCAGCAGAAACACTGCTCTCATGGCATCGATTTTTGAGGCGCCTAAAAAACAGCCTGCGGCACATACCCATGGGGCTGATGCTGATGGAGCGTCTGTGCCGTTCACCATCGGCATGACCACCGTGAACGGGTCCTCCGGCAGAAACACTGCTCTCATGGCATCGCGCGCCTCGCGCTGCCATTGGTCATAGCCGGAGGTGCTGATGTCAGCGCTGAGGTCATCGGCAAGGTGCAGGAGGGTGTTGAGGAGGCGTAGGGCGGGTGTAGCTTGCTGCGCCTCCCTCTCTGCCTGTGGTGGGAGAGGGCGAGGGGCCATTGAGAGACAGAGAATTGCAGGAAGCAGGAGGTGCAGGGAGAAGGCAACAGATGGGAGGGTGCAGATGAGGAGAGGCTATAGAGTGGTAGCACTTGGAGAGATTTGGTAGGCCCAATCCGGCGTGAGGTGGAGGAGGAGGTCATGCAAAGGTGAATGGCAGAGTGCATCGCACGGCTTCGGATGGCATGGCAAGCATGGGGGGCAAGCAGAGGAAACCAGCAAGGGAGCAGACATGACACGGGATGGGATGGGATGGCACGGATGTGTGGCACGAAGGTGGACTGACCTCGATGCGGCGCAGCAAGAGATCGAGGCACTGCACAACGTGACGCTCGTTCTGCTCACACAAGGGCACAGAGAGGTGAGCAGAGCGATGGCAGGAGAATGGTTTAGGAATCAACATGGAATAGCCCATATTCCCACAGCACCACTCACATGAATAACACCCCCCACCGCACCACGCACATCAATCCACAACCCCTTCCCCGTTCTCCCTCCCAATCACTTCGATCCGTGCGCAACCATCCCCTCCAGCACTCACATCGTGCCTGGCGAAGTTGAGTCGGTTTTGAATCACAAGGACGAGCGCATCGTTCAGCGCGCCCTCCCTGCCCAGCTGCACAATCTCCTGCACGCACCAACGCAGAGTCCCATGCACCAAACCACGGTCCCATGCACCAACCCAGCATCCCATGCACCAACCTAGCATCCCATGCACCAACCCAGCATCCCATGCACCAACCCAGCATCCCATGCACCCACCCAGCATCCCATGCACCCACCCAGCATCCCATGCACCAACCCAGCATCCCATGCACCAAACCACGGTCCCATGCACCAACCCAGCATCTCATGCACCAACCCAGCATCCCATGCACCAACCCAGCATCCCATGCACCAACCCAGCATCCCATGCACCCACCCAGCATCCCATGCACCAACCCAGCATCCCATGCACCAAACCACGGTCCCATGCACCAAGTCAGCATCCCATGCACCAACCCAGCATCCCATGCACCAACCCAGCATCCCATGCACCCACCCAGCATCCCATGCACCCACCCAGCATCCCATGCACCCACCCAGCATCCCATGCACCCACCCAGCATCCCATGCACCCACCCAGCATCCCATGCACCCACCCAGCATCCCATGCACCCACCCAGCATCCCATGCACCCAGCATTCCATGCACCCAGCATCCCATGCACCCAGCGTCCCATGCACCAGGCGTCCCAGACAAAAGGGTGGAATATGGTTAGTCAGGTTGACACAAGGGCGGCCAACGTTGTCCTTTTGAACCAACGGGAGACTAGGGGAGAGAGGGGAGAACGGGTGGGGCTTTCTGCCTGAACACACAAGATCCTGACGATTGTGCCACGTCATCTCTCACCTGTTCCACGTCATCCCCGGCACGAATAAGATCGGCCACCCGCTGCCTCGCCAGCCTAAGCTCCTCCGGATCCATCTCCTGCGCTCGTTCCCCGAAGCTTCGCTCCATGCGACGGTATTCAGCCGCCTCTGCTGTCTCACTCACGACCTCTCCGGTTCCGCTTTTCCCCCTGAATGACTCATCATCGTCGCTAAACGACGCAGCCTCGAGCGGCTCTTGCGCTGCCTCCCATCCTGACCGTTGATCTGCCTCTCCCTGGTGCTTCTCAACCGTTCGATCATCAGGATCCACTTTCACGCCTTGCACTACTCCAGGCTCCTTCGGCAGCCACTTGCGCCGCCCAACGGTTCCCGTCTTCCCCGAACTTCCTGGTCCTCGCGGTTCCTCTTTTCCCGAACAGGAATCATCCGAACCACTGGTTCTGCTTCGGCGCCTGCTTCGCCGTCCCGAGCCAACAGCTGACAACCCCCCTTCCGCCCCCAGCCCTTCCCGAGCTACAGGTTCTACTCCACTCGTCTCCCCTCCTCCCTCGACGCTACCGCTCCCGCTTTCATGCTCGCCAGCCGTCTTAACAGCACGTGGTCTAAGCCGCCGCAAAGCTCGCATTCCTGTCTTCTTTTGTATGATTCCCCATTGCAGCTGGTTATCGCAGAGACGTTGCGGTTCGCCGCGAAAGGCACGGGAATAGCGAGCGGATGCTACGGCGGTTAGAGGAGCGCGTGCAGGCACCGGAACACACGACCAGCATGGAGGGAATTTGACGGTGTGAAAGGAGTGGGTGCTGACGACACCCCTGCTTGTAACGACGTTAGGTAGGTGTGAAGGACAGTGATGCTGCTGTGACGTGGCGAAGCTAGTCTGAAGCATGGCGACCTTAGGGTTGGGTGGCGATGCGAGGAAAGCTGACAGAGCTTGCTGAGGTTGTGATAGCAACCTTTCAAGTTGTACAAATTCATTCAGGATCAAGGTCGCCACTCATGGGAGGGAACAATCCAGGATGAGGGTTTAGCTGGCAGGGTCGAAGGGCTTTGTACGCGGTACCGGCTAACGCCGGTCTCGTTTCTCATTCCACCGATTTTGACCCACCTCTTTCAAATTTTATTGAACACCTTGATCATGTACAGATTTAGCCCTCCCCTCGAAGTTCGCTTGTTGGCAAGACTCCACCACCTCCACAATCTAGTTCCTCACTCTCCTCCAACCATTCAGCATCACCGGTCCGTCCTCCGTGCGCTTGCCCGTGCCTGCCGCAATGGCGATATTCGCCGTCGTTCAAGTGACACCTCTTCTATCTCACGCTCTGCCGCTTCGATCAAGTGCGATGTCTCTCGCTCCGCCACTTAGGTCGTTGCTCTCGTCAGCCACATCGCTACCAGCTCCGCCACCCCTCCGTTTAGGCATTCAGGTTCACCTTGAAACCGTCACTCCAGGCGTGGCGGATGTCATGTCCGTGCACGGGCACGTAGCCTCTATTCAGCCAGACGCGTCTTACGTGTCAGGTATTGCTGATATAGGAGCGACGCTGCTGTGGCTCCAGCCGTTCACGGAGAGCGAGATTGCGGGGCTCGTCTTCGGAGCCGCGATCCTCGCGTGTGCGGCTAGCGCGCCACGCGTCGACGAGTGGTTCGCGCGGGCTCAACGGCGGTGAGTATGCATGCTCCAAAAGATGTAATTTCGGAGCTAACAATGCTGAATGGTAGATATCACTCCACATATAATGCTGAATGCGAGACAAAAGGTGGTATCTAATGCAACCCCTTCCCTGCAATTTTCAATCAGCTTATGCCTGCACCTCGTTTTGCCATGAATCATCTTTCCCATTCCTGCTTTTCTGAACGACTTCCTCCATTCCGACACCACCATACCTACATCACCTCTTGTGCCCATTTCAGGGATCTTGGTGTTTGCGAGGGATGTGGGGGAGTTGGATACTTGCCGTGCAAAGCTTGCAGCAAACAGGCAAATGTGTTTCAGCTGCCAGTTTTTGGTACTCCAGAACTGGAGCCACCTAAGACACCTAAGACGTCTGTAGTTTCAGATCAGAAAACCAAATGCTCCTGCTGTGGAGGAAGAGGTAGAATCCCATGTCCTGCATGTTCAAAGAACTGATATACAGTTTCTGCTCCAACCAAGTGCTCCAGCTGTGGTGGGAGAGGTACGGTAGAATCCCATGTCCGCACAAGCACGGATATACCTGCTCCTTCTCTGAACTTCACGTTCAAGGCTACACGTACATGCCAAACTGTGGGATTTGCAAGCTACTCACGTGTGCAGGTCTAACCAAGTCTTTAACGGTAATAAGAAATACGCCTTTCACAACATAAACAAATGTAACCAGGGCAGGTTCCGCAAAAGCTAATGGACAGTCTAGGAGAGCATTACCTCACTGCAAGCATTAGGGCGTCATAACCCTAGACCTACGCGATTCAACTTCAAGGATTTTACCTGAGTGCCTTCGATTTAATGATATCAAGGTCCATTTCAGACGCATCTGTTGCCTGAAGCTCAATTTGCACACCGGCAAGCTGCTGGCGGAAGGTATCCTTCGAGCTGGCGTAAATCATCTTGTTCTTCACAGCTGACGTGTCAGGAGACCTGGGAAGAAGAATAAAATAAAACGTTCAGACAAATGGTTCACAATCCGATGAAGTGCGCGAGTATGTGGCAGATCTGAAAAGCTGACGGGTTTACCAGGCGATGAAGAAAATCTTGCTCTTGTGGCAGTGGTCGTCTGTAACAAACTCGTGGTCGAAAACCGCATAACGGCAGTCACTCTCAGGAAGAGCAGCTTGGAAGTCAGCGTAGGTCTTGTCAGGTTCTCCAAAGGTGTCCACTACGATCTGGTCCTTCTCAATCTTGTAGGTAATGAAGCGGTAAGCCTTTTTCTTCTGGAGACTTGAGAATTTCGCCAGGCACTCCTCCGACACCGCCATACCAGAACGAGCGTTGGCCTGTACAACGAGCCATTATAAAACGCCGTTAGTCATGAACTGCATAAATGCCGAAAACGGCAAATGCAGCTAACAAGAAAAACATCAACTAACCATGGCGCCTGCGATCGATTACTACAGTCTCCAAAAATGCCGGTGCACGCTAGGAAAAGGAAACTCGTCCACTCAGCTAGGGTAGCTGAAATGTGAGAATGTGGAAGACCAACAACCAAGAATGGGGGAGACAGGGCTTCAATCACTAGAGGAAGGTGGGGTGAAATGGGAGAAATGTTGCTGCACACGTCGGAGTTTTGCTGAAGTTCGCCACCACCAAACCCAACTAACCGCTAACGGCGGGAGATTGTGTCTCAGCCGCGCGGCACAGTCCCGAAAACACTCGGGCTTCCGCAAGCCTGATTCGTCGGGGTGCCCCAGCACTTCAAGATAAGAACCCATCCAAGAACAAGTGTAGTTGTTCATAGTAACATGACGAGTATAAAGTTTTCTTTGTCCAAGCACTGAATCTGACACGTGCATCTTTTACATAGTCACATGCTCTGTTTTCATATATGTAAACTTTTGAAAGTGTGTAACACTTTCCAAAATTGTGTACTGTGAATAGCGAAGCGAGTTGTACCGAAGCAAAAGCTTCGGCGAACCGCTACTTCCCCCTCTCTTTGGTACAAAAGAGGGGCGAAGGCCATTTGGCCTTCACCCACGTTTCATTCCGATCTTTCAACTTTCAAGTTCCCCGCCCTCCCACCCTTGTACGGATTGTTGATCTTAGAACTTGTATATTGTACTGTGCTTGGACGATAAAATCCTGTACCGTACTACCCAGTTGAAATGAGACGTTGCATTTGCAAGGCAAATCGCAAGCTTTCACAATCTATATCATTATTAGTGTTCGTTTCGGTCATTACTGAAGGCACAAAGAATTGAAGTGTCTTAAGGAGTTCATTCATGCCAAAAGTTATCATGGCACTAGTAGCATTCGATTGGACATCTTATGCCACGTCAGCTATATTACCTACATGTCATAAAAAATGCAAACTGGCTCTGAACTGAAGGAAACCATGACAGTAATGGCCCAATTTTCCTCCGTTTGTTGGCTCTTGATATCAACCTGGAATCGAGAAAACTGCCCGTGCTTAGGATGTAAGATCCTCGGTGGCAGCATTGATGGAACAAACACCAAATGCTGGCTATCATAAAACATAAAAACACTATCAGTCAGAGAACATGTGGTGGTTGACAGGAAGGAGATTAGAACACGGAACTGTAAGTGATCCAACACCACTTCAACTCTACCCATTTCTGTCCTGATACTCTCCTCTTAGCCTCTACTTCACCTCATCATTGATTCTATTTTTGCTCAAGTTATGAGCCAAGGATGCAGCCTGGGAAATGTCGATGCCACTGATAGCATGACATAATGACATGCCACACCATGACATCCTGCACCATGACATGCCACACCATGACGTGCCACACTATGTCATGCCCCAACATGACATCCTGCAAAATCAGGTGCCCCAACATGACATCCTGCAGAATGACATGCCACACCATGACATGCCACACCATGACATGCCACACGATGACAGGCCATAGTAGTACATGCCAAAGGATTTCAGCCCCTCTCCTTATCCCACTCACTTACCTTCCTCTGGGGGTTTCAACCCCCTTTCTCCTTATCCTCAAAGGATTTCAGCTACCCTCTCTCCCAAACCCACTCACCCGTCTTTCTGCGGGGGTTTCAGCCCCCTTCTCTCCTCATCCCACCACTCACCCACCTTCCTCTTGGGGTTTCAGCCCCCCTCTCTCCTCATTCCACTACATCAACCACTGCGACAGGTGGCATCAGAGCCATACAGCTAATCATGTGCCACAAACCAAGCATGAGCATCATGCTCTCATGCAACAGGTGGCATCAGTGCCATACGGCACATCTCATCATGTGCCACCAACCAAGCATGAGAATCACGCGTTCATATTCTTTCACCAACCACACTGTCTCTCAACACCCTCACCCACCCAAGGGGACTCAGTCCCTATCACTTGCACTCCGCCACCCAAGGGGACTCATATCCTTTCACTTGCACTCACCCACCCAAGGGGACTCAGCCCCTTTCACTTGCACTCACCCACCCAAGGGGACTCAGCCCCTTTCACTTGCACTCACCCACCCAAGGGGACTCAGCCCCTTTCACTTGCACTCACCCACCCAAGGGGACTCAGCCCCTTTCACTTGCACTCACCCACCCAAGGGGACTCAGCCCCTTTCACTTGCACTCACCCACCCAAGGGGACTAAGTCCCTTTCACTTGCACTCACCCACCCAAGGGGACTCAGCCCCTTTCACTTGCATTCACCCACCCAAGGGGACTCAGCCCCCTTCACTTGCACTCACCCACCGAAGGGGACTCAGCCCCTTTCACTTGCACGCATGAGCATCATGCTCTCATGCAATGCAACAGGTGGCATCACTGCCTTACGGCTCATCATGTGCCACCATCCAAGCATGAGCACCATGCTCTCATGTTCTTCCACCAACCCCACTGCCTCTCCCCACCATCACCACCCGACCCACCCAGCCCCTCCCATCCTCACCTGTCAGCAGTAGGAGCAGCAGACAGCCCACTCCCTTTCGAGAACAGCACCCCCAGGGGCTCTGACTTGTGGGTCAAGGTGTGGCAGTGAAAAATCGCTTCCAGCCCAAGACTCAAATCCCACCCCCGACGTAGCTAGAGCTGACGCGAACCAGAGTCGCCGGCCGGTCGACTCTGACGGTGTCCATTAAGCCTTAAACGCCGGATCGGTTACTTGAGCACCGAGTGCCGTGCCGCGAAGATTCCACCAACCACACACCCAAACCACAAGCCACAACTCCAGAGGATGCTGCCCCTAAGGCAGTGAACTCCCCACTTGCTCCCATGCTTCCCCCACCCACCCACACCACACTTCACCCCCATGCCTTCGTACCTGTACCTACCACAGCCGTGCAGTGCAGAGCGCCATGATGTCTGGGGCTGATGGGTAGTGGGAAGTGGGGTGTTAAAAGGGGGGCGGGACTCCACTCCACTGTGCTCCAGGAAGGGTGATGCTGGGAGGGAAGGGAAAAGGGAGAGAGGAGGCGGTGAGTAAGAGGCTGTCCTTCACTCTCCTGGCGTTGCTCCAGTGCTCCCACCCTCAGGCTGCTGGGAAGTGAGGAGGGGGGATTAAAGGGGAGGGGGGACGGGTCTCCACTGTGGTCCAGGAAGTGAGCTGCTGGGAGGGAAGGGACGAGGGAGAGTGGAGGAGGGGAGTGAGAAGCTGGCCTTCACTCTCCTGGCCTTGCTCCAGTGCTCCCACCCTCAGCCTGCAAGAGGAAGAGGGAGGAGAAAGCGAGGGAGGGGATGAAAACATACCTTACCTTTTACCATACCATACCTTACCTGTACTGTACCTCACCTTACCACACCTCGCTCACGACTACTCCTATCCTGGGTTGCCCTCTAACCCTCCACCCCCCACCGCAGCACGTCTGCTTCTGCTGCTGCCGGTCTGCTTCACAGCTACATCTGCTGCACTCTTCGCTTGATGCTGAGTGACCTGGTAGCGGGGAGAGTGAGAGGGGAGGGGGGCACAGGAGAGGAGGGGCAGGAGGAGAAGTGAGTTTCAAGACAGACACGGAAGTGAAACTGAATAAAACAAGTACGAGCATGCAAAACAAGAAGACAGATGCAGCAGCGATGAACTTGAGGGGGAAAGAGATGAGGCCAGGAAGGAAGCGAACGTACCTTGAGAGGCCAAGCCCATCCCCATACTCTCCCTCGTGGCAGCTGCTGTCGCCCTCCCAGCCCCCACGCTCTGTGACCGCTGGGACCGCTGCTGCTGCAACTGGTGCTGCCAGTCTGCTTTTCAGCTACCTCTGCTGCATCCTTCCCTTGAAACTGGTGCTGGAGAGAAAGAGAGGGGAGGGGGGGCACAGGAGAAGAGGGGCAGGAGAAGTGCTGAGTTGTCAGAATGGCACTAAAGACGAAACTGAATAAGACAGAGACCAGCATGCAAAACGTGAAGAGAGAGCAACAGCAGCAATGAACTTGAGGGGGGGAGAGATGAGTCCAAGGAGGAAGCTAACGTACCTTGAGAGGCCAAGCCCAACCCATACTCCCCCTTGTGCCAGCTGCAGTACTTTCGCCCTCCCCGTGTGCGTCCCTGCACGGCCACCGGGGAGGGACGCGAGGTAGCGTCGGTGTTGACCCCCACGCCCCTCCCCTCCACCTGCAATGGCACAAGCAGAGCTGGTGAGTGGAGAGCGAGGGGATGAACGGTGGTGTTGCAGCAGAGACAGCACATTCCACAAGAGAAGTGAGGGGAGGGGCCACTGGTGGAGGCGCCGCAACAAGCCGTAGACCCCCAGGGGCACCTGAGAGGCTGAACCTGGGGGGCTGTAAGAACCTAGAAAAGGGGAACCTGAGGGCAAACCTGGACTGTGGGGGAGGGGACTAAAGCTTGAGAGCGGGCCCAACCAGTGGCGAGATTTCAGAGAACAAACTGAAGCACGTGCAGAACAAGCAAAGCGAAATACAGCAATGAGCAGCAAAAGGCAGGGCCAGGAAGGAGAAGTACTTAGCTGGAAAGTTGCAGAGCTGTTGCCGGCCTTCCTCCTCCCAGCCTCCCCGTGTGCGTCCCTGCACGGCCATCGGGGAGGGACGCGAGGTAGCGTCGGTGTTGACCCCCACGCCCCTCCCCTCCACCTGCAAAGGCACAAGCAGAGCTGGTGAGTGGAGAGCGAGGGGATGAACGGTGGTGTTGCAGCAGAGACAGCACATTCCACAAGAGAAGTGAGGGGAGGGGCCACTGGTGGAGGCGCCGCAACAAGCCGTAGACCCCCAGGGGCACCTGAGAGGCTGAACCTGGGGGGCTGTAAGAACCTAGAAAAGGGGAATCTGAGGGCAAACCTGGACTGTGGGGGAGGGCTCTATAGCTTGAGAGCGGGCCCAACCAGTGGCGAGATTTCAAAGAACAGACTGAAAAACATGCAGAACGAGCAAAGCGAATTACAGAAATGAGCAGCAGAGAGGGCACTTAGCTGGAATAATGAGCTGATGCCGATTTGCCTCCCAGCCTCC